CACGCACCAGGTGTGTGTGATTTTCACACAGCAAAACGTATTTATCAACCAAAAAGTCTCTAAAAGCATATTTCCACTAATGCCATATATGGAAAAATCATGCACATGATGCATATATAATGCTGCTTCACAGTTTAGACAAAAATGGTTAGCTCATGCATTTACATTCCTGCATTCATCAACGCAAGCAACATAACATAGAGCTAATTTACACCACATTACCTTGCAATTCATTGCAGGGCTTTGCACAACACACCTGCTGGGTGTGTACACACTACAAAGGTGTTTCGATTCCTCCCATAGATCATGCTGGGAGGGAACACACTACAGAGGTGTATACACGTTCGTGGTGTGTTTAAAAGCTTAGTAAATCAACCCCTATTACTCTATCACCCCCAGGTGTAAAGTTTTGAAACTAATGGTAACTGTCTGGTGAAATTGATGGTCGTTTGTTTGTTATCAATGCAGGCGATCTTTGGGGATTAACTGAGTCTGTCAAGTGTAATTTAATTAGTGTCATGGTTTTTCACTTAGTGATTTATGCTCCCCGCCAAAAAAAACATTACACAACCAGGCCTGTATAGACTGTGGAATGTAAAGGATTTTCTTTTGAAGTTCTTTAAACCAGAAACACAGGGATGTTTTATCTATATCTGTTTTAATCATGTCCAGATGTGGCTTATTTCCAGCAAGGGGTTTTCTAATTAATACTGGGGTGCCCAGACCTCATTGCCATCAAACAAGATTCTTTGTAGTGTATTAACCCCTTCATGACTGAGGCCCTTTTTTCATTTTTTGCACCCATGTTATATTCCACATTTTAGGCCTGAAAATGACGTAAAACCCCCACACATTATATATTTTCTGAATGCCAAGACCCTATAGAATAAAATGGTGGTAGTTGAAAATTTTTATGTTGCGCAATATTAGCGCAACTCCTTATTAAACCCCAAAATTTAGTGACAAATTTAATTAAATGCCCCAAAACACAACAAATTACCTATTTTTTTAATGAAATATAAAAGATGAGGTTACAACGAGTAAAACGATACCCAACATGCCCAGTTTACAAATTGCGTGCGACCGTGAAACGGCGCAAAAATGCAGTAATACGACAAACGCACTCAACAATTTGTTACCAGTTATACAGTAAGGTGCACAAAAAAGGGACTTTGAACAGTAGAACAGTAGAAAGGCATCATGGCACACTCACAAACTAGCATGTAAAACAACTTGTCTCACCACTAAGGACAATGACAGAGGTTTGGATACACGTCTTCTGCAAAGGATGTGTAAGACGTCTGTTTAAACAGCCCCGATGCTGGCGACGTACACTGTAGTCACGAAGGGGTTAAGTATGAGAGGTTGACAATAATGGGCTAATATATTAAGGCTAAGTTTAAAAGCAGCATTGTAAAGTGCAGAAAACTAGAGCATCCTGATTTGTACTTATTGCAGTCAAACAACTGAAAGATGAATTTGGAATGGTTGCTTTGGACTACTGCATTTTGCGGTCTGTAATGTCCTATGCGTGTGCTCTTGTGTCTTAACAGGTTTTGTTTTTGGGAGCCGACTAGCTGTCCAGACTAAAAATATTTGTCACTGGGTGTTGTCAAAGCCTTACGCCCTGTTTAAACCTATGTGATTTAAAGTGTGCATTGCAACGTGTCAACATATGATGTGCACAGGTGTCCTATTGTTTTTATTCATTCATGTAACATCTGTGCACTGTGTTGATGTGCACTGGCCGAAAATATCCATTTTGTTAATGCATCAGCTTGCACTGTAGGCCCTACTGATGGCGATGGCAGCTCATAAAAAGGATCATATCCAGCTCTTACCAGCAGATGGCACTGCAAATAAAATCTATAATTGCAGTTCCATGCTAAAGAAAACTAAAGATGAGATAGTCAGTATTTTACCAGTAAAATATCTTGTGACATTGAAGAAAACACAGATGTTGCTCCTGTACTAATGCCTGGCCAGCTACTGTACAGATAATTAGAGAGGGTAGTTCTATTTTAGCTTACCATGTCAGCCTTGTGGCTTGTAATAGCAGATTGCTAAAGCTTTTCTGTTTGCTTGCATCTGGAAATAAGTAGGTTCAGGTTCATCTGGTTTGTGTATAATCTTTGCACAAAATTTGATGTCATTCTTTTTACTGTATTTTTAGCAGCAGAGTCTCTCCTGCAGGGTTGAATTCTTTAAATGGCATTCTAATTCTCTTCACACGTGTGCTAAAAAAGTTTAGGTGAACTGCAGAAATACAGCCTTGCATATTTTACAAACTGTACAAGTCATATTTTTTAATTTTTGTTTTTTGACCATAAAGTGCAGCCTGATTTTAGTGCAGGAGCATTTAGATCTCAGATAACCTAATTTGTACTCTCAGTTTTAGGAGGGCTGTTGGTATGTATAACCTCCTAAACCAGACACCCAGAATCTGTTGCGTATACATTCCTACCTTTTGAGATTATTGGGAGTCAATAGAAGACTTGTGTTTATGCATGATATACAATAAGGAATGCTCATATCAGTTCATTTGGGGCAAGGTTTTCATTCCTAAATCAGACCTGCTTCGCCATGACATGCTGAGGAAGAGGAGTGACCATAAAAAGAGCTATTTTTTTTACCACATATGTATGACGATAAAAGGAAGGGAGATGCCATAAATATTTACCTTTATTTGGATTATTATTATGATCTGGCCATCAATGAGAACTATGAGGTGAGTAAAAATCACTCATCCTCGTAGTTCGAGCCGACGTGTGACAATGAAACTGTCACAGGTCGGCTCAATAGATCGGGAAGTAAGCTAACACATACCGTCGCTCGCTCACTTCTCGATCATCTCCCTGCAGAGAGCAGTGACTGTCAGTCACAGCTCCCTGCATGGATTCCCTCCCCCCTCCAATCCTCTAGCGCTGACTGGAGGAACGGACAGGGGAGGGGGCAGGTACAGCTGGCTCTGCCTCTAGCTAGGCAGAGCCAGCTGTCATTCACACAGCTGGGTGGATCTCAACAGTCTGTCCCGGCTGCGGCCTCTCAGTATACCGCGAGCTGTAGCTCGCGATATACTGAGCTTTGGGTAACGGAAGGACACTAGTATATGTCCTCCCGTGACCCTTAAGAGAACTATGGGGAAAAACACTTACCTCATAGTTGTCTTAAGTCTTTTTTTAGTTATTTTTTGACTTCCTTTACCAGACCAAGCTTATTCCAAAAGGAGAAAACGGTGCCTGGAGTTTTAATTTGTTAGCAAGTCCATAAAAATATGCTAGTCATCTAAACACAACACACTCCACTGGCTGACAATGCTGCTGTCCAAGGGTGGCTCCCAAGTAGAGCCACCCCAAGTGTGTTAATGGCCGGATCACCGGGTCAAAATGAAGGGGGGGGGGAAAGCCAGAAAAAAGAAAATGAATGCAGCCACCACAATTAAGAATTGGTATGCTGCAATATATTACATTTTTGTTCTTAGCTTTAGATACGCTTCTGTACACTGTGCACCAAGTCAGCAATTGGTTTTCCATATGAGTGCCAATACCTCTTCTTCAACTTAGTTCTTTCTTGTACTCTATGTAATAAAGATTTCCTTTTAGTCTTTTTGTTAGTTTAAATTATTCAGTGTATTGTTATTTCTTTGCAGCAGACCATTAGTATCACTAGACTTTTTAGTAACTAGCAAACCTATACCCAGTTGGTGTATAGTTGGGTCTATGACATTGAGTGCAATCTGCTGTCAGGTGAGTCTGAGGAGGGTTTATAGTGACAGGATGTACAGTATACTATATAGTGTAAGCAGTACAGAAGTGTGGAGTTTTAAACTGTTTTAACATTGAACGGAGTGGAGTATAGACATTGTATAATATACAAAAGTGCGGAGTATATAATGTACAGTACAGAGACAGAAGACACTCAGAAGTCAGCTTCATACTAATATTTGAACACTCACTGCTTTAACATGGTCAGAGGTAAAGAGAATTGTATCCAATCTCAAGATCTGCATATGGAGGCAATTTGTGATTGCAGGTAAAAATTACTGTGCTGAAAGTGTAACACATCTTTTTAGAGTTTTCCATGTGGGTATCAAACATCAGTTTTTATTCATGATTTATTTTGTTAAAAAAAAGGTTTCTCCAGATAAACTTTAATTTCCATTGGTTCTATTCCATATTAACCTGCAGCATACCGGTGGGGCATAAGAAATGGCTCTGCCCCATTAATCAAATTGTCTGAATGAAGCACTTAACTTTGTATCTATAGTTCAGATTTAGCTTTTCTTTTCGGTTATGTCTGTCAGATATAGCAAGCTAAAATGATGAACATGAGCACCCAGGTTCCTCAGAATTCCAGAGCATTGTGCTATGGAAATTCTAACCACTTTACCTGGTAGCGAGCCTGGATCAGCCTGTCCTACCTTCCTAAGCCCCACTGTTGTTTCGGTCGGGGCACCCATTACATGGAAGCAAATGTATAGACTAACTTCCCATTCTCCCTTTGAAACAACATTCAGGTAAAAACTGGAAATTGGAAGAGTCACTGGCAAAAATTTTCTAAAATTTTTTGAAATGTTTAGTAGTGAAATTTTGCTGCAATTTGCTTCATCCAGTACTGTTTATAAAATATACAGTAAGTCCCCTACATACAAACACTCAAGTTGCAAACTTCCAAAGATACGAACATGCGTTTGCATGTCCAATCATGTAAGTTAGTTCACGTGTCTGGCATACATTGTCACGTGCATGTGCTTTTGTTTACTATAGAGTACAGTAGTACAGTATCTTTATTTCAAGCCCTGAATGTCCGGAAGCAAGCGTAAAAGCAGCAGTGATGTAGCTGGGCACCTAGGCTAACTTTGTTGGACTTGCGAACACGCTTTCAGAATGGAACCCATTTATAAGTAGGGGACTCACTGTCATTACCAATTTAACAATCAGTGCTGCTTAGGCAAAAAAGTATGATTTGATTAATTTTATTTTTCGATTTTCTACCAACAGAAACTGAGACCTGATGATGTCACAAAAATTGCTTTACAGAAGGAAATTAATTTTGAGAAAGTATGCAAAAAGGTAATCGCATATTTTTTATAATTATTTTAAAGCAGAGTTACAAGCAAATACCCAAAATACATATGTGTTCTATATTGCCAAGTTTTGTTATTTATATACCCCTGCTACAATGTATAACCAAGTGGATGATAACTTAACAATTTGTCCAAGCTGCATCAGCAGGCAATGAAGATCCACTCCTGGCTCTCCTCACCCTGCAGCTGTCCATAAGGTAGGGAGAGAGCCAGTGCAGGATCAAGGGCTTAAAGGGCCAGCAGTTGACATGGTAGGTGCTACATATACTAAGATATTGCATATTTTCAGCCATGGCTCTGTAGTGTTCAGATCTCTTTGGACTCTTGAAAATTAATCACTTTTAAAAAAAATAAATATCCTTAATTTGGTGTTTTAGCTTAGTGAATTAAGCCTATTGTATCACTGTTACATTTTAGCAGACACCTCCAAGGGATAGCTTTTTCTCCATATCCTAGCTGAATATGCTGCTTAGAGCAGTTATGACTCCAAGCAAAACTGGCAGGAGGTATTGGCAGCTACAGACATGGGCTGAAGAGAAAAGGAATCTTGGGCGTACCAGGTACATCCTTAATCACTAACTAGATTTTACTGTTTCAGAAACCTTTCAGGCAATTTGGCAACTGCACAAATAAGGGTCAAATATTGCAGTTTTAATCATTTTAGTTTTCAATCATTGATAGAATGGAAAAGAACATCACTACCAGTTCTGATAACTACAGCCTTATTTGGCATGGGTTATATTATTGTCCTGTTAACCTTCCATTAACATGGACCTGAATTAACATGATTTAGGCCATACGTCTGATCAAATAGTTGGGGCATCAGGGACGACCACGCAAAAAAATTGTACTTAAGATTGCGTTTTGACTATAGGTTGTGGCTTTGAATTGAGGTCCGCCATTCAGATCATTCTTTCTTGTTTCTTTATGATGTCAATTGTATATTCTGCCAGTGAAAATGTATGACCACACTGTATGACATACATACTCAGTATGCATGTATGTACTTCCATTTTCTTCTGTCATCATCGCTCTTAAATTCCCTGTGTCAAATTATTCTTTTACTCATTTTTTACATATCCAATAAAAATGTTATACAAACCTTCCTAATAACATGTTGCTGTAGTTTTCCCATTCAGTCTTCCTGTTCTTCACAGGAAGATTAAATTACAGAAAGCCAAGCTCTGACCCATGGATCAATATTTGTATACAACATGCTTTGGAAAGGAAGTATAAGGCAATATGTGTTTATAAACTTTCTTGTTCTCATTAAGACCAAATAGTTTCAAGTCAAACATTTTACAAATGTGCTGGATAAGCATAATTATATTGCTATTGTTATTCTAACATCAACAAATAGCAAAGCTTTACTTTGTCTTCCTTAATCACTTATGAAAGGAGAACTCTATTAAAGTAAGCCCTCCATGAAAGTAGATGTAAATGAACATTTCATTTTCTCTGCTGAATGGAAATCCCAAACAATGTTATCAGCCCTGCCCAGTTCTCCTTTGCTGGACTACAGAACACCCCCCCCCCCCTTTGTTTATGTTTATAAAATAAGGTTAAAGTGTTCTGTAGCTTAGCAGGGGGAAAGTCAGGCAGGACTGACAACACTGCTTGATATTTCAATGCAGCAAAGACTGTGTTGTCAGCTTAGTACAGGTTAGGAACTCACTGGAATTTTGTCAGGATCACAAAACGTGTGTATATTGCAGAGGTGTAGAGCGTATTTTGTTTTTGCTCAACCAAACACTTTAACTTTTAACTTAATTTTAACTCTAGAATTTACCTTTATGCCCAAACCTATAGCCTAACCCTTATCTTAACCTTAACTAACAAGCTTGACCCCAGAGCCTAACTAATCCATACATCAAACTAATTAATTCTGCATTATGCTTAAATCGTATATCGGGTCAACAAAACAATCTGTGTTAATTTCGTGGACTAATAATTTTTGTCCTAGTTTTTGTCAACAACACTTTTCCAGTTACTAAAACTAAGTAAAAACTAAGTTATGATGACTAAAACTATAATGAAAATATATTGACATTTTAGTAGACAAACTAAAACTAGACTAAAATGTTAGGGAGAGACGATTTGGGAAGAGATCCAATCAGAGCCAATCTCTTTGCACTTCCAATTCTGGTTCAGGGGTGAGAAATTCTTAAATTGCTCTTTAACTAAACCTACTACATTTAAGTCGACTACGTCTACTGTAGATTTACTCGACTAAAAGCTTATGATATTTAGTCGACTAAAATATGACTGAAACTACATGGAATTTTAGTCAAAAGACTATGATTAAAGCTAAATTGAAATTTGCTGTCAAAATTAACACAACATAAAATATATACATTATAACTAGGTACATGTAGTTCATGCACATTCCTCATGTTTTATCACTTTAAAGACTCTGGGGTAGAGAAAATACCTATTGACCTACCAGAAATACACCCAGGTCATAAGTCCTATTGTGGACTGACAAAAGACAGCATTTTTGTGGATTGAGTGGTGAGCCCTGCCCAGTTATCTTTTCTAAACTGCTCAAACCCTCTCACTTTCCTACCCCCACAGCATAGACATTATTTGTTCTGTAATGTGGTATAACAATTTGGAGGGCAATTATCGAACAAAAAAAAAACCTCTTGATTGCATATTCAAAAGACCAAAAGGTAGCAGATAAGAGGAGTTAATTGTTAGAGTATACCTACATAGTAAACCTGTCACTTTGCCAATTTAGGGCAATAGTAATAAGGAAGAACTCTGCAAGGGTTAAGTGCTCGTTTTCATATAGGGAGGAAAATTAAAAAAAGATATACTCACCTGAACTTTGGACCCGGCTAGCTGCTAGGCTACAACCTTACTCCTCCTCCGCTCCAGTGATGGGGTGTCCTCACGTCCAATACACTGTATAAGATGTGATGACTCACAGGACCAAAGACTGTTGGAGCGGAGAGAGGCTGCAGGAACCAGTCTAGCAGCCAGCTGGCTCAGAGGTTCAGGCGAGTATATCTTTTTCTTTTTTTTTTTCTCGTCCCTACAAACAAGCGCTTAACCCTTGCAATGTGCAGTAGCCCCACTGCAAAGATAATATTTATGCCCAGAGTTCTTCTTTAAGTAATGCACCTACCTTAGCCGTCCTCTTTCTATCTGTGAGAGCCCTGAGAAATACCCACCACTTCTAGGTATGGATTAGTATCTGACCTTCTCCTCCCAGGATGCAGTGTTCAGGGCTGAATGGGCAAAGTGATTAGATTTAAGCTGTGCCAAACTCACATGTGCTCTGCCAAAAGATACCTATAGCTGATGTCAAAGCTCTGCTCCCATGATGCACTGAGCGGTTTCTCTGTTGTAATGTATATGATTTGCTGATGATTATTAGGAGGGAGGGGCAGATGTCCAAAATTTTCAACATATTGATGCATTTTAATTGCAAGGAATGAAAAGAAAAGTGTTAAATGACTGAGATTTTTGTGACATTTTATTTTTAAAACCATTTTCTGCTCCTCTTTAAGACTAGACTTTTTCCCTTTAATCTTACATTATGACTGGTTATTTTATTGTTTGCCTGGCATGCAGCTTATATTGGAATCTCATGTCGTAGTGCACAGTTTAAAATGCCAACCATTTTTACATTCCTGGGAAGAAGAAACAACATAACCTTAAATGCACTTGTTCATTGTTACATGTCTTAACAAGCTGCAAGAGACATGCTGAAAGATAGCCACGTAGAAGGTCTGTGTAGGCAATGTAATGACTGTAATTTATGGTCATTTAGCTGATTGGAGTTAACTTCAGCTTTCCTTACTGTCCTAGAGAACCCTGAGCAGTTAAAGCTGTGTACATATTCATTGTTTGAAAGAACTCGGCATAAACCCTATACGTATTTAGTTATACATACACACAGTACTGTGTTAAAAAAATGCTGTAAAATAAGAATGCTTTCAGAAATAAAAGTGTTACGGTAATAGTTTATTTTTATTCATTAACAAAATGGAAAGTACATCAACAGAAGAGAAATCCAAATCAATATTTGGTGTGACCACCCTTTGCCTTCAAAGCAGCATCAATTCTTCTAGGTACACTTGCACACAGTTTTTGAAAGAACTTGGCAGGGAGGTTGTTCCAAACATCTTGGAGAACTAACCACAGATCGTCTGTGGATGTAGGCTAGCTCAAATCCTTCTGTCTCTTCATGTAGTCCCAGATCGACTCAATGATGTTGAGATGAGGGCTCTGTGGGGGCCAAACCCATACATTTTAGGACTCCTTGTTCTTCTTTATGTTGACGATAGTTTTTCCTGCACCCCAGTTCCTATGTTTTCATGCATAGTTGAGCCTCTTAGAGTTTTTTTCACATCAAAGGTATGGCTTTTTGGCCCCGATTCTTCCATGAAAACCACTTCTGGCCAGACTTCTCCGGACAGTAGATGGGTTTACCTGGGTCCCACTCGTTTCCACCAGTTCGCTGCTGATGGCACTAATGAACATCTTCTGATGTAGAAGGTAAGTAAGCATGATGTGTCTATCATCTGCTGCATTAAGTTTCCTTGGCTGACTACTGCATGTATGGTCCTTAACGTTGCATAGTTAGTCAGGTTGAAAAAAGAACATTGAAGGTCCATTGAATTCAACCTAAAAGCGTTGCCTGTTTCTTTGTGCTTCTTCAAAAGAGCTTGAACAGCAGATCTTGAAACCCCAGTCTGCTTTGATATATTTGCCTGGGAGATACCTTGCTGATGCAATATAACTACCATGTGTCTTGTTGCTGTGCTCAGTCTTGCCATGGTGTATGACCTGAGACATGAAACTGTCTTCCACAACCTCACCTTAAGGTGCCCATACACTTTACAACCCTCGCAAGGCTTTTGTCTTGCAAGGGTTGTAAAGTACTAAAAAAAACGTACGATCTGCCCATCTTGGACAGGCAGATCGTACCTGCGATCATCTCAAGCCTGACCCCCTGAACGGCGGGCTTCCGATGAC